TTGTAGGAGTACACTTTTACCGTTGACTACATAAAGGGCTGTGATAACGTTGGCGCCGATTATTGAAGCCGTGTGTAAGGGTGCTGCACATCGTGTTGTGTAGTACACAAATGTTTTCCACGTATCGTGTTGCGACGTGATTGATTGATTGATTTGTGGGGTTTAACGTCCGAAAACCACCATATGATAATGAGAGACGCCGTAGTGGAGTGCTTCGGAAGTTTCAACCACCTGGGGTTCTTTAACGTGCACCCAAATCTGAGCACACGAGCCTACAACATTTTCGCCTCCATCGGAAATGCAGCCACCGCAGCCGGGAATCGAACCCGCGACCTGCGGGTCAGCAGCTGAGTACCTTAGCCACTAGACCACCACGGTGGGGCGTGTTGCAACGTGACATTGTGTACACCTGCAACAGAACATTTCCCTTTCGTGAACTCTTCATTTCCACTGACTTTCATACCAAACCCCTGTGACATTTGCTCTTCACTTCTACCCATCGGAAAAGTTGTAAACAACTTTCTTAAAACCCGGGGTATTGTGATAATATGGGCAGAAGTGTGAAGACGACAAGAAAAAACGCACGGGATCGGGAAGCGGTTGACATCGTTCAAGGCAACGCGGCGGACAAAGACAGATGGCTCTTGGCTGTACGTCCGGTGCGGGGAACTAGGAGACGCCCTTTAGGCGCTGTACTGTCCTGGACTCCGGCTGGGGGACTGGCCCAGGGACCAGGCAATCCACTGCTATTCCGGCTGCCATCTCGAGTGGTTACGAATTCCCGTTTGCTGTGGGCCACTGGTCCTGCTGCCCTTCCGGGTGGCTGGCACGACCCTGGTGTGCTACTGGGACGAACGCGGCAGCTGAGAGCTGTTGCTCCTGTGCGGAGCTTCCGACCGACCGCTACTCTCCTGCGGCTACTGCGGCAGAAGGCCGTGAGATGGCGTGGGCCAACTCACGTTGAAGACGCCAACAGGACAGACGGCACGTCCCCCGAGCGATCGTAGTCTAAGCCCAAGCAAAAAACAGCGAGAGACTTCTATTTCAGTGAGAGATTTTGGATAGAACTGCATGTGATAGACTATGTTTAGAGATGCTCCATTACTAGTCGCTTTTTTCATGTAAATGTATATTTTGTGTGTGCGTGTTCTCGTGGCTCGAGTGGTTCCTGGCGAGTGGTCCTGGGCCGAAACCTTACACTACGTCACAATGACATTTATTGAAATGTCATCTGCGTGAAACGCGATTGGTCGGCGTTTTCTTTATATCGGATGCACACCTTAGTCTTTGAACTTGGAAGGCATCATGAACAACCGACAACGTACATACTTTTATGATAGACCAGACAAGCCCACTGCTTTGACTACATCAGATCTCATTGTTAGGAAGAGAAAAACTCGAGCAGACATAAATGAAGAATCAGACCAACACTTTCAACAGGTGTGGAAACTTCGCGAAGGAGTTACTAAAATATGATGGCAACGATGTAACCTACAGTATATCAAAGAAATAAGAAGTGCATCAATGAAACCCGCAATGAGAAGTAATCATGAAAAAATTAAGAAAGTGACAATGTTTTGCGAAGAGAAATGAATCCAAAAGCCTTATGGAAAATATGCTTGGCAAAGGAAGTTTCCCCAGGTCGAGACCAACTCTAGAATCTGCGGTTTGAAGACTCGTCATAATGAGCTTCTACGAAGACGCACGTGGTTGGTTTATCCTTTGGAAGGGTGCTTATAAGTGCGGGCATTTGAGACCCCAGGAAGATATAGAAACAGGCAGACAGAGGAGAAGACGACAAAAAATAGAAGAGAATGAAAACATATCATCATCATCATAATTTTAACGTTCAAATCATCTGTATAAACGGTTCTAACCATCCTGGCTCTTCTGTCTATTCGTTCACAGCACCATTCGCAGGTGAATCACTCTCAAACAATAACGCTACCGTCTTGTTAAAATCAACGTGGCGAAGATGCCTGGTGCATCCGCCACGATGCCTCGCCGCGAGCTTCAGTGTACGGCCACATTGCCCACGAATAACGTTCGGCAAGAAACAAAATTTAACCGCTTTTGCGTTTTCAGGCTCGTCACCCGTTCAGTTTGTGCGATGACTCCACACAAATACGGCACAACCGAACGTGTTAAGGGATGGTGGGGGCAAAAAGAAAAACGGCACAACCTTAGTATCACGCAGAGGAGCACACACTGTACATGGCCCTCGTTATAGCGGCCAGGAGTAGTGCTTTCTCCACATTACCTGCATGCTGTGCGAATATGTCGAGGCACAGGCTGCGAAAGCACAGGGTTGCCCGGAGATGAATACCACTTGTACTGAATTTGGCATTACGTGACGTGAATGAACCACACACATGACATGGAGGTATTTACAGCATAGTTTGCCTCCGCTTCATAGGTGGTACTGATTTCAAAGTGGCACATCAACCTTCCTCATTCGTTGTTCACATATCATCCTATTCCCTATGTGTTTTGCATCTACCAAATTTCTTTTTTCCCCATTTGTCAGCTGGTTTGTTTGAGGTTCACTCAAACGGAGTTTGATATCACTCGTAGCTATTCTTTTTCTTAATCCGCCATCCCAACTTCTCACGTTTATGTGGACATCTGCTCACTCATGTAGATTTGGTAATGAAGCTGCTCATGCAAGCGCTCGAGCGTTCCCGACACAAGGGCAAGCTCATCTAGTAGATGCTTCACAAACTAATGATCTTGCTGCTGCATGAACATCTAAAGAAAAATAAACTGACATACAACATTTACGGGTCCTTTCGTAGTGGTCTCCTAACCCTGCCATCTTTACTGTTTCAATCCTTCCACATGCATGGGATTGAATGGGTATAAACGACAAACCCGAACTTTTCTCTTCCCTGCCTTACGCCGCAGAGTTTACCCGAAAATTCGCTTCAATTCGGACTGCAAGTTTTGTGCTGCCAGGAAAATGAACCTTAAGCGCAATATGTTGCATTGTCAAAGTCAATTCCCTTCCCGAACATTGGTAAAAAATTTAGTAGTCAGTAGCTTTGGTAGACTACAATGCGCATCTACAACCCCGGACTTAAGGAGACCATCCTGAGGTAGGCTGAGGTGGTAGAGGAGGCCTAGCACTAGTAGGACCGTCACCTTCTCAAAGCCCCTTCTTTTTGAGATGGGATAAATAAAGTGCTCTCTTCCTCTATTTTTCTCTCTCACTAACGGTGCCATAAGCCAAAGGCCAACGCTTACCTTACGTTGCTCCTTCAGGACGCTTGACCGAACAGTAGTGCAGTATGCCCTCGCGTCATCATACTTCACCGAGACACACTTACCGAAAGCCAACGCGAACAGAGTTTACCCTGATTTGTGACGAGTATATATTATAAGCGTGAGTGAGTTTCCTCTTTGCGGTGGGTCGCCGTTAGCTGCTGCCGCAGAAGCACGCTAGCGCCACCCTTTGTTTAATATTTCCGCCCGTAGCGTGGTTTAGCCTCTTAGTTTTATTCACCAGCTTTGGGGGCGTGTGTGGTACTATGTTTTGTGGTATTTCCGCAGGCAATAAACTGATGCGGATCTCTGAGGGCACTACTGCGTATTTGCCGCGCTGTGCTTAGCGCCTTTGCTGCCTAGACATACATGAACAACTGTGGGCTAGCTCATGCGAACTAACGACAAACGTGGCCCTGTGGCTCGCTAAGTCGGAACCCACACTAGTGGCCGTACTCCTCGGAGGTACGTACACCCTGCAAAGAGAATAAATCGCAACTATGAAGCTATGGTGTTGCGTCTTCCATAAGAATTTTTCAATTCACAGGTATGGTGTCACTAAATTAACATTATGTTTTCGTACCAATGAGAAAAACTTAGTGGATTGTTTCTCTCTGCCACACCGTCGGCTTAGAATTTGAAACTAATGACTGGTGGAGAAGCTCCCCCAAAATATTCATTGTTTTGAAATAAGTTTATTTACAGCACTAATGTGTTACGGCTAAACAGCTTCTAAACCTCTTCTTTCATCATACGAACTAGCTTCATAATGAAGTTGCCGCACGATCGCTGGGCGATCTCTGGACGTTGATTAGGCCAAGTACGTAAGGAATAACCAGCTAACAAACCACACAGAAGTGTTTGCAGGTGACTTAGGAGACTTCAAAGCAGGCGCTATCAAAGACCACGCATTTAACCTTATGCTGCGTGCCTTCACCGTTGCCGGAAAAATTCACGTTTTCACACAATATTCCTCGTAACATGAAGGGTCTGTCTCCATTTGAGCTTCATTCTGTACTCATATCACCAAATGCCGAAGGGTTTTAACGCAGTCTCCTCGCACGATGCACATTGAGCAATCAGGTCCCAAATGAACAATATCGCCAGTAATTTCATTGAACTCCACTCATAATACCAGACGATTAAATGACCATTCGGATTTCCAGATATTCCCGTCTCGCAATGGTCTCCATGCTTGCCTTCGTCATTGTTCTGTAGGTTGCTCTGCTTTGCACGAGTATACATAGTGTAGTCGGATCTCTGCGACGCGGGTGGCTCTATTATCAAACATTTGCACCATTGCAAAATATCTCACATAACACAGTGATATCCATGGTTTAACAATGCGATCCATATATGCATTATCAATAATCGCGAGAAGTGTCACAATGCGTAGCCCCACCCTTCTCGAGATTAGCTGCTACCGTCACGCTATTACTCCTTGAAAAAAAAATTCTGGCTTTGCTGCATCTGACTTGTGATGCGGCTTTCATAAATATAGTTTGGTTACGTAAAACTACTGTATGTCATTACTTCTTCTACTGTGTGCACCTAGGGCGCGCATCGTCTGTTTTTGACCTGAATTCTAATTAATCCGGTTTCTATCTTTTCAGAATGTAGTTTTCAATAGGCTATTGGCACTTATGAGTTGTTATTACAATACCAAAATGATAAAAATTACCTTTTTGCACGCTTACCTAGTTTCAGAGGGCAGAACTATTATGTTTCTTATATTTCAGGGAGGTGCCAACGACGTGTGGGGTCCATGGATTGGTCAGGGTGGCAAAATCAACCGTAAGTGTAGCTCCTAATTTGTCTTTTTTACCTAATAAAACTTTGTTAAATGGTGTTGATTTCTGTCACCCATGTCCTGCTTTGTGCCGCAAGCAAAATCACGCTCTTCGTTTCACAGTGCCTGCATTAGATTCACGCTGTTTATTAGTTAAGTATAAGCCAGGGAGACTTGGCAGTCAAACAGATACATGCAAAAAGTAGTATGGACCATCTCCCCGAAGGAAACCCTGCCGGAATGCGAAGCACCAGCGGTGAACACGGCGTGGAACCGGTTGAAACGGACGTCGACGCGGGTGCTGGAAAACAGTTTGAAGCATAGAGTATTATAAAAAATACCTTGAGGGAGCTGGGGCGCTCGTGTCTACACAGGCTCTTTCAGCGGCGCTTGTACCTCCATGGGAATTATGGGAAGTAAAGGCTTCAGATCCGCTTCGGATAGATTACGTTCTTAATAAGCGTGACACTATTTTTCCGAGTGTAAAAAAAAAAGTGGGGTGAACTTGTATTTATTTGAAGCCTGCCGTATTTATTTCTACGCGAACTTGATTGCAAAACGTTTTCGTGACGAGGTGGCAAAAGTGAAACGTGGGCAAATTACACCAAAAGAGTATGGAAATGCATCGCTCTGCCTTGGCATTCCAGATATGGCATCAAGGTTTAATGAAATATTTTTACAACACATCAAAACAACCATGCTTGTTTTTTTTCGCTCGACAGTACGCATTATCTGTGGATATAGCAAAAGAGTAGAAAGTGAGAAACACTTATCCTTTCTTGTCTTCTTTGACGCTAGGTGCGTCTGCATAAGTGGTCTGGCGCCAACTGACCTGTGGCATTGTTGTAAAGTCGAGTGAGCGGAGCGTGATGGTAATTTTACTTAGCTTTGTCACCGTTTCAGGGGGCGAAGCTCTTTATAGCGGCACCCCTTCGTCCCTCGTAGTCGTAGTCGTAGTGTGTGAGCAGTCTAACATTTTGACCTCCAAGGTGGTGCTGGTGAGAGATTTCTTCAGTGCGTTGTTGAACAATAAAGAATTCGCAGCGTGCACATCAACTAAAAGCCAAATTCTCCTGTCTCTCATTTCCATTAGCAGCCATCGGCATGTACATTGAGGACTATCTGACAGGAAAAGGTTGCTACGTTATACTCGTTGGGAGTAACCTCCTTGGTTTTAGAAAGGTTTAGCGAGCGCTGGGCCGCAGTGCCACGACTACAGCGAACTAGTATATACCATGAAATTCGTGTCTACTTTCCACCTGGTTAAAGGTGGAAAGTAGACACGAAGCGCGAGCCGTAAGAGAGTGTGCGTGTTCCTCCTCTCTTTCAGTCCTTGGAATGTTTGCTGGATGGCGGTACTTCTATATTGGGAAGATATGATGAAAAAATGCGAGATGTAGTTACTTGAAGTATTGAGTAGATAGACGAACGGGTACACAGACAAATGCATGGACGGACGCACGGATGGCTGCAAGGACGAATGGACGTCTGGACGGACGCAGGGGCGGATGCATGGACGAACGCAGGGACGGACGCACAGATGGACGTGCGGACGCACGAACTGATGCTTGCACGGGCAGGCGAATGCACGCACGGATGGTCACACAGATGAACGCATGGACGGACGGATGCTTCACCCCACTCTCCATCATTCACCCCGTGGATATGCTGTCATCTTTCTCGGCTGATTTGAAGGCCAACTGCGATGAAAGTTGGCACTCCGCAAAAATTCTATATATAGGTATTCTAGCTAGAGGTAGTACTGCCTGCCAAGTGTCGCCTTCAAAATACAAGCACATACCTTAGCAAAAGGCTTGCAGGCGGCGGTGTTCTTGAAATTGAAACTGAAAAAATGGCAGTATATCAACGGGGTGAATGATAGAGAATGGAGTGAAGTATCTGTCCGTCCACTCGTTATTGCTTCCGTCCGTCCATGCGTCCGTCTGTGTGACCATCCACGCGTCCATCCGCCCGTCCATGCGTGTGTCTGTTCGTGCGTCCACGCGTCCATCCATGCGTCCGTCTCTGCGTTCGTCCAAGCATCCGCCCCTGCGTCCGTCCATGCGTCCATTCGACTGTCCAGCCATCCATGCGTTCGTCCATGCATCTGTCTGTGTGTCCATTCGTTCATCTAGTCAACACTCCAAGTACCACCATCTCACATCTTTTGATCATATATTCCGCATATAAAAGCAGCGCCATCCGGCAGACATTGAAGATCTAAACGAGAAGTGGCACACGAACACTTTCTTACGGATCGCGGTTCGTGTCTACTTCCCACCTTTAACCACCTTGACCTAATGATATATGCTAGTCGACTCTATTCATGGCACGGCAGCCCAACGCTCGCTAAACCTTTCAAAAGCAAGAAGGTTACGCCTAGCGAGTATAACGTAGCAACCCTTTCTTATCAGATGGTGCTCAATGTACATGCCAATGGCTGCTAATGGGGAATGACAGACAGGAGGATTCGGCTTTTAGCTAATACGCACGCTGCTAATTTTTTGTTGTTGAGCAACGCACAGGAGAAATATCCCACCGGCATAACCTTGCAGGTGAAAGCGTAAAACACGTTACCTTCCACGACGAGGGACGAACGGGTGGCGCTTTAGGGAGCTTCGCCCATAAAAAAATTGACAGATCCCACGCACAGTGGGAATCGATGATATGCGAAGCACCATTGAGAACTGTTATGTCAGTTTACAATCAGCCCAACATTACGAGGTGGAAGTAAACGCTGTCGTACATGATTTTCTTGTCGTGATTATCCTGTTTAGATGTGTCGTTTACTTTCGTCATCTATTCCCATCACGTGATACCAAGATCAGTATATGTGGAGCTAGTGAAATGGCCACGAGCACGCTATGAGCGTGGTAGGTATTCATGTTCTTACATGGCACGCGTGTCAAAATTATCCTGTTTGCACCAGTCATGAATTTCGTCAACAATTGAAGTCACGTAACACCAAATTTGATATATGTGCAGCTAGCGAAACGGCTACGAGCGCATCATGAAGGGCCTGTAGCGGCGAGGGAAGAGAGACGTGAGATGGCGTCGAAGGCGGCCGACGGGGCCGTGCTGATCTCGCCACTTTATTCCACGCCCGAAGAGGAGCCGCGGTGGCTGTCCACGTCCGACGCGCCAGGTGCGTGAGCTCGTTCTGAACCTCGCGCAGCTAGAGCTAGCACCAGCTGCGCGAGAGGCGTGGCGCAGTGATCAAGAAATGATGGCGATGATGATGGCACTACAGGGCTCCCCCCCTAGCGCTTTGCACGATTCGAAGGCATATGAAAAAAGAAAGCCCTGTAGTGCCATCATCATCACCATCATTTTCTTGATCACCGCGCGGCGCGGTAATCAAGCTGATGCTAGCTCGAGCTGCGCGAGAATTAGAACGAGCTCACGCACCTGGCGCGTCGGACGTGGACAGCCACCGCGGCTCCTCTTCAGGCGTGCAATAAAGTGGCGAGATCAGCACGGCCCCGTCGGCCGCCTTCGACGCCGTCTCACGTCTCTCTTCTCTCGCCGCTACAGGCCTCATATACTCCAACGTATCGTTGACGCGCGCACACACTGGGCACAGCGAGGCTACGTAAGCAGATTGCGAGCACTCTATAAACCCATTTCATGTTTGTACACACATGTAGGCCAAGGTCTACATTATGGGTAAAATTATGGCGACGTCCGCACGTAACTTCCACCATAAGCGCTGATGCGTGTGATGTGCACCAACAAAACTACGTTGTGAGACGCCATAAACGTTCTGAAAGCCATAAGCGCTGAAGACTGCGATGTACGCCAACAAACAAAACTAAGTTGTGAGACGCGCCTCACAACCAACCGCGATGCAACTCATCGGCATACCGTTTTTTTAAGTGCGAATGCACATTATAGGCGACCCTGTATCCACCGTCCGTGGTACGCCTCCTCCTCTCCCCTAGCAACGGAGCGAGAAGCGGAGAGGAGCGTCTGTAGCAACGGCGCAGCGACGTCACACACCACGTGATTGCGTGCGCTCCACCCACCGCTCCATGGCTGAGCGCACCCAGCCACTACTTGCTCAAGATCAGCAAGTAGTCATAAATATGGATCCATCGCAGGCATCAACCTCGACTGCGATACCTCCAACTACGTGTACCATGCAATCGAATGCGAGCATTGCAAGCGTCGTTGAAGATGTCGCGCCGCTTTAAGACGAAGCAGCGTGGCGAATGGCCCGTGATGCCAAGCGCAAGCGAGTGAAGCGGGCCTTGGGCATAAACGTCATTATAGTGCGAATTTACTCTCACATATACGCGTAAACTCACCAAGATTTCCCGAGAGGGTCTAATGGTTCCTGGGAATCGCAATTTGATCACACGGGGGAGTTTACACTAACTCACTGGGCGAATGCCAATGGATTTTAACTTTACTACCCCTCATAGCATCACCCCGTGCATTTGGACTTAACCATGTTCACCCTCGGGGAAAAACTTGGGAGTTTTTTTTTCTCGTTGCTTGATTGGGAACACCACATGCACGATTGAAAACATAGCAGAAACTGCGGTAGGCAGAGCGTCTTTTGCCTACAGCGCAACCTCATTTTCATAACGTAACTCCGGTAGCATTTTTCTATAGTCTTACGCCAGGCGCCACCAGCATCCGTCAGCGCGGCCCGACGGCAACCGGCGCGAATTGTGACATGCTGCTTTTCGTGCCGATGTGTTACCCAGACAACACTGCATCTCCTTTTTTTCGTGACAGAGAGACGCTGGACGCGCTGAAACGCACATGCCTCAAAGCAACGCAGCATGGCGCGTGCCTGCAAGTGTATGGCACGACCGGTGCCTGGCGTGGCAACGCTGGCGTGACGCCACGAAATGAACGCTAGCGAGCACGCGAATTGCGTTACGTCGAAATTTATTGGCACCTTGACTGTGGCATGTAGCCATATTCTCACATGACACACATCCCATGATTATCATGTTTGCAACAGTCACGTACTTTCGTCATCCATTGGCGTCACGTAACACAGAGTTTGGTACATGTGAAGCTAGCGAAACGGCCGCGAGCACATCATAAGCGTTGCATGTAGTCATGTTGTTACATGACTAGCATCTCATCTCTATCATGTTTGCACTAGTATCATACCTTCGCCATCCATTCACGTCGCGTAATACGAAATTTGGTACAGCTGAAGCTAGCGAAACGGCCGCCAGCGTATAATTAGCGTGGTATTTAGTCAGGTTGTTACATGAAACTCCTCTCATGATTATCATGTTTCCACCAGTCGCATGCCTTCGCTATTCATTCACGTAACGTAATACCAAATTTGGTATATGCGCACTAGCGAAACGGCCGCGAGCGCGTCATGAGCGTGGCATGTAGTCATGTTGTTACATGACACGCATGTCATTATTTTCATGTTAGGGTCTGTCGCTTGTGTTCGCCATGCAATCATGCCACACCATACCAGTTTTGCAACATGCCATGTGAACGAAACCACCGCAAGAGCTGCAGGACAGTGAAATGTGAATCATGACATTTATGACATACATGTCATGGTTTTCATGTTATGACTAGTAAAGTATGTTCTTCATACACTCATGTTATGTCATACCAAGTTTGGTATCGATACCACTATCGAAACGGCCAAGAGAGCTAAAAGTCGTCGGCGGCTAGATATATAGATACGCTCAAAGTCGCCGAAGTTCGCTAATAAACACCTCGTATTAAAAAAAATGGTAGCATATCCACGGAGTGAATGATGGATTGTGGGGCGAAGCATCCATCCGTTCATTCGTTCTTGCTTCCATTCGTCCATGCGTGCGGCCGTGTGGCCGCCCGTGCGTCCATCCACCCGTCCGTGCGAGCGTCTGTTCATGCATCCGCACGTTCATCTGTGCGCCCATCCCTGCTTTAGTTCATGCATCCGCTCCTGCGTCCGTCCTTGCGTCCTTCCGTCGGTGCAGCCATCTGTTTGTCCGTCCATACTTCTGCCTGTGTGTCCGTTTGTCCACCTATTCAACACTCAAAGTACCAAAATCTCGCATCTTTTCATCATATGTTCCTCATATAGAAGCACCGCAATCCAGCGCACATTCCGAGGACTGAACGAGAGGAGGCACACGCACACTTTCTTACGGCTTGCACTTCGTGTCTACTTCCCACCTTTAACCACATCGAGTTCATGGTATATACTAGTTCACTGTATTCATGGCACTGTGGCCCAACGCACGGTAAAACTTTCTAAAACCTAGGAGGTTACGCCCATGAGTATAACGTAGCAACTTTTTCTTGTCGTCTGTGCGTTGTTGAACAATAAAAAAATCGCAGCGTGTGTATTAACTAAAAGCCGAAATCTCCAATTATTCCCCTTTTGCAGTCATTTGCATGTACATTAAGCATTATGTTTTATTTTTGAAAAACGCACAGAAGAAATCTCTCACCAGCACCACCATGGAGGTCAAAATGTAATACTGGCTACACACTACGCCTACTACTACGGTTACGAGGGACCAAGAGGTGCCGTCATAAAGAGCTTTGTCCCAAAAACGACGCCGTTACGACTGAATGAAAGTGCCGTAAACAACAAAAAGTTGTTTGCTCCAGGCTCCTCAAACACGCACATCGTGGACGCGCTACTTCCTACCCCTAGTTCACAGTGAAGCGCCCACTTTCTACAGCAAGCGAAATTTTCCTGCCGCCGAAACGCTGCGTCGTTCGCAATAGACGAGCCCCGCACCGCTGAATATGCTATCTACGACGGGGTTAACGCGGGATGGATGCGCTGTTACCCGGTTCTTCACGCACCTCGCAAGAGACACAGCGCTATCCGGTGCCCAACCCTTCGATTATTCTCCTACGCACAATGCAAGAAGAAGCAGCACTCCTTACTTCGCTGGCAAATCGCTTGACGACCTGAAAAATCTGATGCCAGCGGCGTTGGTTTGTTCGTATTGCTTTGCAGGACCACGACAAGCTCATTCACGCCAGCGACAAGCTCGTTCACGTCTTGCACGAATTAGGGACGTGAACTAAACAAAAAAGGGGTAAACTCCTGTTAGGGACAACATTCAGTTGCGTGCACTTCGACAGTTCATGTGAGTAGGACTTGATCGCCAGTTTTCGAAATTTTTTTGACTAGCACAGACTACAGCGGCGCATTGCGCTGGCATCGTACTGCAAAACTGTCTTAGTCAACCACTCGCGAACGGGCGTCATGAAGGAAAGAGCGATTCAGCAGCAGGGAGAATCGCTCACAAGAAGGGACACGGCGACGTTCTGTAGTATTCGTCATATCCGGTTCTGTCCGATTTGACTGGACACACCGCTAGAGCTCCGCGTTGTCTGCTTGCTGGTATATAGAGCACCAATTAATAATTAAATACGTTACTTCAAGATTTTTTGCTCTAGAAAAATTTCATTGCAGTTGGCTTTAAACGCGTTTAGGCAAGACGCGTTCGTGAAAAAACATGAACTTGACGCAATGGCGTGCACTGGCATGAAACGCTACATCTATACACGGTGGTGAGTAGAGAACGGTTCAACTGACTAGCCACACAGGCTAATGGTCCAAATACTTTTGTAACCATGTTTTTGTATTACGTTGATTGAATAAACACTGATGATGATGATGATTTAAACTGTTAAAGGCAACTTGTAAAGCTCCAACGTCACAGCAAATTAACAGTCCTAGTGGTCTTCAGCCTCTTCGAACAACAAAGGCACTGCTTCAGCGCTTTACGCCATACCCTACAACCCACGCTGCGTGAAGATCAAAACTGAAACTTTAGAAAAGGTCTGCACAAGTTTTCAAGCCGATTCTATCCCATTCGAAGTCAGTGCTTCCCGTAATTCTAACGGAGGTACACGATCGCAGTGCCAGAATTTATCTATCTATTTAATGCCAAGCATACTTTAGCGAACTTTGGCTACTTTTAGCATATCTATCTATCTATCTATCTATCTATCTATTCATCTATCTATCTATCTATCTATCTATCTATTTATCTAGCCGCTTACGTTTTGGTGCTGTTGTGTTGACCCCCTTAGCTTGGCAAGAACGAAAACTAACATGAATGGCTAGGATGGTTTGATGAATATGACGCGCTGGTCAAGACATGAATAACGTCCCAGTCCCGTCGCGTACGTCGTCAAACACTTGGCGCCAGACAGTGGCACATACAGACGGGCGGCTACATGCCGCTGGTATGCGGCTATGTGCCACAGATGATTGACACTTAGTATCTACCCAAGAACGACGAGAAAACACATGGGCACTTTTAACGCGTGAGAGCAAAAAAAATACCCGACATCAGTAGCAATGACCCAACGAATGCAAAGTATAAATGTCAGGGTCCCAGCTGAAATTGAACCTAAGCATTCAGCGTGCCAATGAAGCGTTTTACCCAAGACCTACGCCAGGTCTCGGAACTACTTTTCAAATAGACCCTAATCTTCATAAAACGTCAATAGTGTTTGCTGTGCTGCCTACCCAATTTTATATACATTACATATGTACTCGTTTGATAAAGCCGCCACCTTGGATTAACGCCAATTGTGATTAGTTGCCATGCACTGAAGTATTTTCTAGCAATGTATAGGGCCAGCATCTTTGTGAGCATTAGCGCTTCGTGTCAGGTTCTGGTGTAACTGATACGCATGTTCCAAGTGGCATCGTTGCGCAAGTGCAAACAACTGGTTATATAAACATCTGCACGTCTTTAACATATGTCTGTGCATGCAACATTTCTACATATTTTTAGCATCTTTTCGTGACGTGTAGTGGAATAAAAAAATTGCAACACGGTCACCTTCCCTTCGCATGCTTCGCATATCGTCGATTGCCGGGTACGCGAGATTTGCGAAATTTTTCGTTAACACCGCGGAGCTAAAATCTCCCACCAGCACTACTAGTCAAGATGCAGTGCCTACAAAAACGGAGGGTCAGTGAATATTTGCTGCGCGAGCAGCTGGTTGTTTCGATCAATGATCTTGAAGCACACGCCGCATGCTTTGGTATTGCGAGGCTAACGAAGCAGCCGAACTCCAATAGAAATCTTACAGCTCGCATTAGTTAACACATAAAAAAGTGCTTATGTGAAGGTACGTTTTGCTTTCGTGTTATAGCATTTTCGTGTTATAGCATAAATATATATACCACATATATATTTGTAACACACTGGTCATTTCTATTGGTGCTCCTAATCCTAGACAGATTTCTTGTAAAAAATGTACTTGTGACAGCTATATTTAGTAATGTAGGTATAAACTAAGAAAGTTGATTCTTGAAGATTTAAACATTTACTTATGAAATGCTTTCAATTGCGGTAACTACAAACGTGCGAGTCAGCTTCAATGGCACGTCATGCACCACGTGGTTCATGAAATAGCTTGAAACTTAGTGCTTTTACATCAGGGCAGGCCTTCTAACAGTAAAGCAGTGATCACTTAACTTCAATATGCTGCGTATAACTGTAGAGGATTATTTGCTCAATACACAACTTTGTTCGACACATGCTCGGTGTGAAGCGTTCCAGGACCAATGTGAAAAGTATTTTTCTTTTCGCTTGTAGCAAACAAAACCAAAAAATTACTGCCCTTGCACTTCGGGCCAAATCTGCCATATTCAGTACGCCAGTACTGAATATGGCAGAATAGGTAGATAAATAATGTGGTATGTAAGTTAAGGTGGCATATCAATTACTTTAAAAAATAATTAGTCACACTCTCAAAAATTCCTCTGTTTAGAAATTTTTATTCATTTTCTTACTTGAATTATATTACTAAGTGCCTTTGACTTATGCCACGTGAATTTCACGTGTTTCTGATAGCGCATCATTATTAGTGACTGAAAGGAATAAAACACGAATACTTTCTTTGCAGCAAAGGATTATGCATTCAAAATTTGGCAAAGCAATCACATACTGCTCTCTCTGCATGTGAGTCAAGAAGACCTTGAAGTGCACCCTAACGACGTATTATATCCGGTATGTCCAACCTAATCAAATTTTTTGGGGACTCTTTTGCTTCACCTTTAAGGGTTGAACGCGACAGTGATGTTCTATGCCATCCTCATCTCACTATGTTTCATTTGTCATTATGTTCAGTCACCCAGCCAGCCAGCCAGCCAGCCAGCCAGCACACACACACACACACACACACACACACAAACAAAAAAACAAAGGCACATACGTTTCCAATAAGGGTAAACAGTTTTCCGTTTTTTTTAACAATTACGCCACATTGATGAAAACAGTGTACCCACGTTGTGTGTTTCACAGTGCGTACAAAATTTGCGAGCATATTTCACAGATGTCACGCTTTAAATCAGAAACTATTACGCTTGTGGTATTTTTTCTAAGTCGTGACGCACCATAACATGTTCGTAGAGGAAACGAATAGTAATGTGGGTGCCTTTTGTAAGGGGTGACTTGCTTTAAACCCCAACTGAATATGGGGTTTACACGATGTGCAAGTCAGTATCAATGGGCGTTTCACCACAATTCACTGCACTATTACCTCTCTTACTGTGATACATGTACACAGACGTGTATATTTGTGAATCATGAAAGTGTTTAAAATAATGCAGCAAATGGGGCTGCTTTACACATACTCATAACGGTCCGTGAAAACAGCATTCTAAGCACAAGAAAGTACACAAAACCAGCGTTGTCAATCTACTGAAAATATTAGAGCAAGTAACAAGCCATACATAAACATAAAATGAGGCTTTGACAGATGTCACGGGTCCCGTTAATTAGGGAGGCGATCGTCGGGCTAATTTCAAGGGCCGAAGTGTCGGCATCCCGAACCGCACCAAGAAAGCGTGGACAGTTTAGAAGTTGTCCTTTTTTGTGCGCCAGCAGACGCCGGCTGTGGCCCAAAGAACGAGTCAGAGCCGAGAGTTGATAAACAAACTAAATTATATTCTCAATATTGGCAGATCGAACACAATATACAAGTATGCACACTCCACAATAGTTGAGTACAATATGTCACCAATCAAACAACGTACTACACAGTACAATCAGCCACACTCAAAACAGCGGACACAAACAACAATACACACTACAATGCAGTCGCATGCATTGAACAACCAAGACACTTAAAGACTAAAGAGATAGAAAACCTATTCAGTCCAAAGTCCTTGGAACAAAAGTCTGAATGATACTCTTCCGAGAATCACTCACTCAAATTCCAGCGTTGTTGCCGTTCCGCTGCCCCGAAGTTTCTCTTCCAGTAAACCTCGCGTCTTCTATTGGCCACTCTCCAAGCTTCAAACTTCGTCGCCGGAAACACGTCGGCTTCACACACGCAGCTGTTGCCACGCGTCTTCGCTCGATAGCGGTAAACTCACGCTCTTGCCTGTAGATCGAGCCTTCACCCCTCAGGTGGAGATCCTCTTCTTCTCCTGCTTTGTCGCTACAGACAAAACCTTCGCCGACCAACGGCGGAATCCCTACGCGCTCTGGCGCTAACTTCCGTCTTCTCCTGCTTTGTCCCTACGGACAAAACCTTCGCCGACTGCACGGTGGAATCCCTGCGCGCTCTGGCGCTAACTTCCATCTTCTCCTGCTCTCTCGTCTCGGCCGCTCGATTAAATACCTTCCGCGCGAGATTCCAGAAGGTTTTCGTCATTTCGTCGGCGCGATACGCAGCGAAGGCTGGGGAGAGGTGCGAGACTGTACGGGGGCCGTCCCCGACAGATGACTCAACCCGGCATACACGCCCCTTTCCTTCTGGAAATTTCTAGGGCTTGCTCTGCCACCGTTGTGGGGTGAGGAGGTTCGTCAGCGAAGCCACGCTTCCGAGGGGAGAGCGTCGCGCGCCCGGGGAGCCTTTAGATGTTTGTTTTCTCTTTTTTTTCCTTTCCGTTGACCTCGTGGCGTCACTCCGGCGCGTTATCGCAAGAATTTGGCGGCGCGCCCATTTTGAGCGCTCGTTCTGTGACAACAGAACCTTACCATTCTGAGAAAAGATCTAAGCACGTATTCTGCCTTTGGAAAACCTGAGCACTGATGAAGAAACTGAGGGTAGGTTCACGTTTTTGTCTTTCGCTTTTATTCTTTCCAGTGTTTTTGCAATTTCACGTGTGACCTGGTTCTTGTGCCTCATAATTGCACTAGTTTGCTGAGCTCAGCTGCGCAATCCTACTGCGGGCAACGGAGAGACAGATAAATAGATGTTTCAGAGAGCAGGCATACTATCTATATATGGACAGACGGTAAAATATTGTCCCTTCTGCTTGACTTACCTACCACACTCCACACGAAATTGAGGGATTACACCACTACGATGGTGCAGTCGGCGAAAGGGAGTAGTGTTTACAGTGCAAAAATTTATCTGCCGCTAAAGGTGAGAGTGGGAGCGAGCGTAAGAGAGGAGAGAGTAGGAGTGGACGTGCAAGCGCTTTGTTGGAGTAGGCTCCCAGGCAGCAGGACTGAGCTTCAAGGACAACAGCCACTGGCATTAGATGCTTAGCATCTAAAATCACCGCTGGCAGCGTGCCACCTCTCTGCTTCGTTTTGTCAACGTTTGCGCACAGTCATACCAGCATTTTCGAAAATTTTTAGTGCTTTTAAATAAGAAACGCGTATCACTGTTTTATGATGTACAGTTGGCCCCTCCCGCGTTGGTCTAGTGGCCAAGGTACTCGGTTGCCGAACCGCAGGTCACGGGATGGAATCCCGGATGCGGCGGCTGCATTTCCGATGAAGGCGGGAATGTTGTAGGCCCGTGCGCTCAGATTTGGGTGCACGGTAAAGAACCCCAAGTGGGCGAAATTTCTGGAGTCCTCTACTACGGCGTCTCTCATAATCGTATGGGGGTTTTGAGACGTTGAACCCCACATATCAATCAATCATATCAATCAAGCTGTACATTTGTAATTCTTACGTTATTCTTTCAAGCACCCCAAGGAAAACAACGCTCGATTCATTTAGAGGAACATAGTTTTTTTCGTTTTCTTTTTCGTCTGCGTGTTGTAGTATAAACTTCTTTCCCGTTTGCAATAGTTTCCCTATCGGAAAAATTGCCATGGTGGATACTGAAAAACATGGTGGGCGTAGTGGAAATAATAGTGGGCATGGTGAAAATTATGAAGGATATGGTGGGGCGTAGTGGAACATATGGTGGATATGCCGGGACATACTGGGTGGTATGGTGTACAGATGATGGGTAAAGTGGAAATGATGGTGGAAAGCAGAGGCTAGATAGTGGGTATTAATGGGACACCCTGCCCACCATTGCGATAATGCTGGGAAGCCCTAAGCATATGGTGGGTGGTGCTTAATATGGTGGGCCACATGGCGTACCCAGCTGAGAAACTCTTCCCACCATTGCGATAATGCTGGGAAGCACTAAGCAAATGATGAGTGATGCTTGTTATGGTGGGACACATGGTGTACCAAGCTGAGAAGCTCTGCCCACCATAGCGATAATGCTGGGAAGCAGTAAGCAGATGATAGGTGGCGTGTAATGGCGGGAAATTTACATTGTGTACCAAGCTGCGATCTGTACACTACATGTTCTACAACAATGACTTCCATTAAAGGTTAGGCCTACCAACCTAGCCGTTATAATGTGTTATCCGTGCCTCAAGGTTTCAGAATACACGATTTCGACGATTAAGAATGACAATACAGCGCAGCCATGGCATCAATTAACCTAAGTGAAGCATTTTTCTTTGTGTATTGTGTCCGCTCAAGAAGAAACAAACATCGATGCGACGCGATTCAAGCACTCCCAGAGAACGTACGTCTCTTCTCACCGACAGCCGCTGGTTGCACTCGCCAGCACTTCTCTAGCTTTTGTGCCAGAACTCAGACGTGGCAATTCGTATGCTTGGGGAACCAATATAATAACGTAATGTTTTCGGCACACTGCATTCGTTTTGGCCAAGCCGTTATGTAGTTGTTGCTTTAGCGAAAGAGCTACAGCATTGCGCTGGCACGACCGCCCTCTACATTGCGCGAAAAGCATCTCAATACTCAATCAAATAAATTAGGCGGCCGTATCTATGCAATGAGCCTAGAAGCATCATAAAGCGTGAGCAGATGTTGCCCTTTAGAACGAGCGCGAAACAGATATTAAACTTGGCAGACCCCGCCGGTGAACTGTTGCTGCTCCCCAGTCCACTTGGTTTTTTTTTTCTTGCAGTTGTGAATTGTAAAAAAAAAATAGCACTGGTGCCGTTTGTACTGTGGCAATTGTTACAGGCAGCAGTTGCTTGTGTTTAATAGATGTGCAAGTTTTAGTAGCAGGTGCAGATATTGTCTATGTCGTGTACACGGCAAACATAACTAAAGTTGAATCATAAGTTTGTATGCCGACTAACTATTTAACACACAACCAACTTCATGTTGGTATGGCACAGTGATTAGTATCTCCGAATGGGCATCCGCAGGTCGCACGTTCGATCCTCCATGGCACCTCGTTTTTTTTACGGGACGGGGTTTTTCTTATACCGTTTTTATAGAATTCTTTTTAATTTTTGTGGCAGCTCGTCACGGTGATTCTGACGCCATATCGCGCTCAAGCGTTGCCGGCACTGCAGCACCCACCATATCCCACCATGCGCCATGGTGGGCGTTTCCCACCATTCACCCACTACATTAATCCACTATAATGATGGGTGGTGGTTTAAACCATGCCTGCCATTCGTTTTTTTTTCCGATAGGGAATTGTTATGCTCTTCTCAGGTTCCTACAATTTAGTGATGTAAGGAACACGAACTAAGAGTAGAGAAACGAGGCACAGTATATAGCAAGTATACGTTTCGCCGTTGCTTTTTGAATGCGGTGCATTTCTTTGCGTTCTATCTATCTATCTATCTATCTATCTATCTATCTATCTATCTATCTATCTATATCTAACTATCCACCTATCTACACTCCTAAGAAATGGAGTGACGTTCTCTCCATTTAGGGAGGAACGGCGATGTCTCCAGTGTTCGTCTTTAAATAGAGAAACGTTGCTCCCTCATCCA